AAGCCTCTGGTTGTGTGTTTGGGCTCAGGACCGATGACACGACTCTCTGATTGATAAAGAGCTGAAGAATCTAAACACCGACAATGTTTGTATGTGTGTGTGGCTCATTCTCTCAGTCACCCTTCTTCTTCTTCATCAATCAAAAATGAAAAGTCTGTATCAACTGGATAACTGATTGATCCAATATTTAAAAATACCTGTAGGTGACTGATCCTCTGTCCATGTGCAGGTCTGAATGTGTCTCTACATCACCACATCAGGCAGCTGAGAGTGAAGAGCAACACAACCACCACGTTTGAGGAACAAGCTTCTGTGTTTTCCACATAGAGACCGAGGTGAACCGAGCTTCATCCAGTGTGAGGTTTGAATTCAAGGGTTGAAGCAGACCTGTCAGTTCCACGGTGTGTCCTCTAGAGGGCAACCACGTATCAAACATGTGAATGCAGCAGCAGCAGCAGTTTAAAATGTTGATTGAACACAGAAGTCAAATGTTTTATTCTCACAAAGTGTTTGCAACAGATGAGAGTTACGTCCTTTACGTCTTTCATCAAACACTTAGTGTTTTTACACTGTGACTAAAAATCTATTCCCTTTGTTTCCACAGGGTTTGTCATGAAAAACTAAATCTGGAACATGATTGAAAAAGATGGAGAACACAAACTCTCTTTGAATGTGAGTTTAATTCAGTCTGATTCAGTTTTATTTATTTCACATTTTCGTATCCTCTGTGTCTTATTGTCTGTTTTCATGCGTGTAAGTGGATTCACAGTTTCTTAGTTCACAGCTTTAACTGGAACAGACGTTACACCACAACGAGTACAGTTACTACATCGTTACCTGAATCCACAAGTTAAATATGTTTTATTAAAGTCTGGTTTGAAAAAGACCACTTTCATAAATATGTCCTCATATAAATAATAATCTATTTTGAACAATATGGAAATGTGTGAATAATAAATATAATTTAAGATGAGCAGTTATGAGAAAGTTCAAACGTTAAATTGTTTTGTTGCTTCCACACAGAGCTGATATCAACTCCAGAGGTTCTTGATCTGGTGTGAGCAGAGAGAGACTGTGGTGATGGCAGCTGTGGAAACAACTCAGCGGTAAAGTAAGTGATACTTGATGTTTCCTGTCTGCGTTTTAATCCGCGGCCTCAGAGGGAACAGACTCAAGTTTGAAATTTTTACTACCACTTATATGAATGAATTAATGACAAATATACAAATAATCAATAATACGTCACACTACAAGCACAGAGTTTACAAGGAACATTCTAAGTACATTTGTCACTTCAACATACATTTGATAGTACTTCATTTGATACTTGATTTTTCTCTAAAATACGAAATCAAAGTTTTAAATGAACCTAAAACCTGATGGAAAATGCAGATCAAGAAGTATAATCATGCTTTTGTTGCTTCTTCAAAAAACGAAATTGACTTCATGTTTTAAGCTTCTCTTTAAAACCAATGGTATTAACTGTCTGTGTGTAACAAGTCGCTCCACACGTGGTTTCTCTTGATTTCAATTTCAAAAAACACACTCGATTATCATAATGCTCATGTCGATGCTCCAGGATCTGTCTCTCTTTCCTGTGTTTTGTGTCTTCTCTTGTGAAAATCCCATTGGTACACACTGGCTTTGTGTCTTAAAGCATCAGACAAACAAACCTGACTTGTGGACACACACACACACACACACACACACACACACA